TTATATTTTTTTTTTGCAAATATTTCTTTTTAATTTTTGATATTTTTTAATTTCTTCAATTCTAATTTTAAAATTTTAAAAGAAAACCAATGTTCTTTATTTCTACTTCATGAAAAATATTAATAACAAAAATTATTAATTGTCTAAAAAATATTCTTATCGAATATCAGAGTTGACATTCTTTTTAATTTTTTTAATTCTATTTTCAAATTTTCTTCTATTTGAAAAAATCTTTATCTTCAAAGATGGTTCTTCAATTTCTTTTAACATTATTTATTGAAGTTGTTTGTTGAAAAGAATTTATGAATAATAACAAGAATTATTACTTGAATTCTATAAAAATATTCTTTTTAATTTCTTTAATTCTATTTTCAATTTGAAAAATCTTTTTTTTTAAAGATAGGCTCTTCAATTTCTTTCAATTTGTTAAAGTTGTTCGAGATATTATTAACAAAGGATTGAAAATATTGAAAAGAAATTTTTTTCGCAATAATTAATATTATTATTTTAAAATTTAAATAATTAAGAACCACTTCTATCATATTCGGTTTATTCAAAAAATGCAAGAATAAGAGCTATAAGTTTTCATTTAAAATTATTGATTTAAAATATTTTTAATTTTTAAATATTGTTTTCTTGGTTGTGGCTAAGGATCTTGCTTTTTGTTTTTGCAGATGTGATATACTTGATATTATGTTTTGCATAATTAAAACATGGTCTTTGTTTAGTGCATTTTACTTTCTTTTTTTGACAATATTAATATGTAGATGAGATTTTTGTCTTCATCATTTTTTGATCACTATCTGACAAAATCTTGAAATCTTGATATTTAAATAATCATTTCAGATAAACTATTTTTAATCTTTTTTTTAATTAGTTTTATCTATTTGATTATTAATCAACAATCAATATAATGATTTAAAAAAGTTTATTTTACAAATTAAGTAATGAATTATAAATTTAATTTTTTAATCTTTATGAGTCATAATTTGTCATCAATTCTAAATTAGATAAAATTCTGAAAATCTGTTCTATTATCAAATCTTCTTTAAAATTTGATTGAATCTGCAACAAAAATAGAAAACGCTTAAGGCATGTATAATGTTAAAAATTGCTATATTCTAAATTATACAAAATTTTAAAGATCTGTTCTGATTATTAATTTAGCTGAAAATAAAAAACTAAAAAAATCTTTTTTTGGAAAAATACTAATCATAAAATAATGCATATTTATCAAATAAATATTTACAAACAATTGCTATATGCAAATTGATTATAATCATTATGATAAGAATTTTTTTTAGTATAAGATTCTCAAAAATGCACTTGAATAATTTGAATTTCATACTATTTTCAAAATTTTTCAAAATTTTAATATTTTTACAAATAATCTTTATTATAATTTTTATTGATTTAACAATGTGTATACTTCGATCTGGAAAACTTTTTAGAACCGATTCAGGAAGAATTCCTACAAATCAGCAAGAGGTTTTAGAGACTCTTTCTGGGATTGATAACCTATCTACATATGCTGAAGCAGTTCACTCAGGTATTTAATCTCGCAAAGAATTTAGTTCTTTTTTGAAAAAATTAAATTTAAATCAAATTTTTAAAAATCAAAATTAAAAAATTTTAAATACTACAACATGTCTTTAAAACAAACAGCACAAAATGCTTCTCAAATTCAACTTCAATCAGAAGCTTCTTGAATTCAAGAACAAGAAAATGTTGATTATTTTCAAGATAGACTTACTGACGAATTTTCAAACTATGAAAAAAGAATTAAATCTTTCAAAGAAGACAACAATTTGTATAAAAAATATTTAAATGGTTTAATTTAATAATTTTTGTTATTTTATTTCTTTTTGGAGTTTATATTTACTAGACTAGTAATATTTATATATGCTACTGAAATAGGTTTTCAAAAAAACTCTATTTTATCTCTATTAGAACAATTTAGAATTTTTATATGCAAGAGCAAATCTAATTTAAGTAGTTATATGGGGTGTTATCTATTAAAACAGCTTTTTTTTACAATTTTTTGAAAATTGAGTTTTTATTAGATTCATATAAATTTTGACATGATTGACATTTTTCAATTAT